TCTGAAATTGAGGAGCCCTGTATTTTCATCCTGTTGTATATTGAGAAAAATCAACATACAGAAAATACGAAACAGAGAAAATGAGGAAAAAATGTCAACCCTGGGTAGATGGTGTAGGGGCCTTCCCCGGGATGTGTTTTCAGGAAACTTGGAAAAGATTATCCTGACACACACCCCACCCCCCTCCATACTTGGCTTTCACAAGCCTGGTATTCTACAACTAGACTTCTTGTTTTTTGTTGTTTTTAAACATTCTTTTATAAATTTTCAGCATATTAAGAAGATGTCCTAACAACTGTTAATGATGATCAATGAGGTTTTAAAAATTATTTAATTAATTGGAGATTTAACGTGAAATGCAGGTAACCAGAATTCCCACTAAGGTATGAAAGTGTCATCCACATTCAGTCGCACTGTGGGTAGGTGCCCGTGCTGGGACCTGGCACCAGATCCTTTCCTGAAGGGTTTTAATGACTGAGGGGGAGGGAAATCAAAGCTACTTCATCATGACGGGCAGTGGGGACCACAGAGCGATGTAAAAGAGCCCCAGAAGGAACACTTACACATGACTGTAGATACCCTCCTCACGTCGTTGCTGGGACTGGCCCTGTTACCCAGGAACCCAAACCTGCAGGGCTTTTCCACGTCCGTCCAGTGTTCTGTCCAGGTGCCTTTGGACTTGACGACGTCTTCCTCCCCAGATGGGGTTAATACCTTAGAGGGTTTGCAGATGGCATTTCGCACATTCTTGATTAACAAGAGAGGTCGTATCTCTAAGAGTTTCTGCAGTTTTGTAGCTGTAATTACGCTTCTTACAAAAAGCTAGATTGGATGCCTCAAGCCAATAATATTTTGGCCTTATTCTTTCCTTATTCCTTTGCTATGAAGGCTTTTTATGTAGCTTTTCTGCTTGTTTGTGGATGGTGTCTCTCCCCCCTTTCTTGTGATGCTGTTGCTTTATCTCTCTTCCATTCATGTTTTTTTCCTTCCTTTTTGCTGCATGGAGACTCTCTGCTGTACAAGTGTAAGTACTTCTTGGTGGCTGTGCAGCTCCTGGCTGTACTAGTTCACATTCTTGTGCTCCGCTGGCTTCCTTGCTGCCCAGCTGATCTCCCAGGATGTGTGCTGTCCTCGTCCGTCTGTGATCCTGCGTGAAATAGGCAGCGATTTAGAGACAAGACTGGAGTTTACAAGATGGTCCAACTAGCAGAACAGGCGATGAATTTCACGTAACCCCAGCCATGTGTCTGAAAGCAGGGGCAGTGCTGATGAAGCGGGTTATGCACATTCAACAGGAGAAAAGTGCTTATTCCTTTCATGTAAAAAAAAATTTTTTTTTAAGACATGATTATTTAAACTTCAGGGTTTTTCTAATTTTTGTCATATTGCTTATTTCCTAGAGTTAATGAAAATCAAGATCGTGATTTGCTTTTTGTATTAGAATTTTACCAATTTGCTTCCCAACTATTTGGATTTTGTTAGCCAACTCTCTTGTTTGTTTTGCTTTTTTAACCTCAGGAAAAAGAAAAATAGCGATTCTTGAGCTTGGAGTGAGAGTGTTGTTTATTATTCTTTGTGCAAACCTGGTGAAATGAACAAGGAAATTACTGTCCTATTTTTGTAGTGATAGGAACAATTTAACACTTGCTTTTAAGAAAATCAGTATGTCTAGGAATTATACATTAAACATGAGTTGACCAGGAAAAAAAAAATGATCTTGTTTGTAAGGTTCCAACATTAGTCCTTAACTTGTAGTAAAAGTGGAAGTACCACTATTGAGCTACATAGAGAATAGTCTTAAAAGAATTATAAAAATTGGATCAAATGATAAGGTTTCTGAGCAATGTAGACATTATGTCACTTTTGGACTCCTAGAGCGCAGGGCCTTGCATTTCATTCACACTCTGCCATGGTGGGGATTTTCTGATGGCTTGTGATGTCAAGATGAGAAAGAAGTTTTAGGTTTAGAGTTTTCCTTCTAAAGTTACATTTTAAAGGGTTTAACACATTAAGAGTATGTAATTCATACTTCCTGAGGGTGTGAATATTGAAAATTACTTCTTTTTACTTATAAAATGCATTATTAATGGTAAAGTAATTTTATCCAGGCCTGAAGTAATAGTGGCCAGTGTTAATGATGAATCGATGTGAGAAAGGTCCATTTGCTGTGTATACATTTCCTGCTTCAGTCGCTGAACACCTTCATCCAATGGGCACTTTGTGATTTCTCTGATTAGAAAATACTTAGGCCTTGACAGATGTTCAAGGAAGGGAATGAGGACTAAGAAAGAGTCTGAGAAAACTAGCCCTTTCATTGTTGTACAAGAGAGTTAACAGTTCTGAAGAGGATGGTTATATCCCAAGATGCTATCTATCTAACAGGTATATGGGGAGGGGGAAGGAGGGCGGCTTGTAAACCAGATTTCTAGAGAAACATGGAATATTTGTTCCTAACTGTACAGTTCGGTGGATAATCATAGCTCACATTTACATTTCCTCTTGCCTTACATTTATATGTAGAGGGATCATAACAATAAGCTAATAAAATCAAGCAAGTCCATATTTTTCTATAAAACTGTTAAGGAAGAAAAAATTCTCAAGAAAAGAAAAAATGAGAGAAAATAAGATTCATATTTTTCTTACCATTGCTATACTTAAACCCCGTGAAAAAAGAGATTATAAAATAGTTAATCCATGAAAAGGAAAATGTATAAAATTGGTCTTCATTCTTTATACCAAGCTTAAAACCTAGCCTGATTTCAAGTCCTGCTTATTTTAGCAAAAGACCATTGGTCCTGTCCAAACATGGCAAGACTTCAAAACTGACAGACATGTCAAATACAGTATGAGTTTCATGTGAAATGCAATTAGAAGGTATTTGCACTTTTAAAGAGCATTTGAAATAAAGGAACGCGTTGAAAATGCATGAGGCGCATCTTCCTGATATACAAATTTTATAAACTAGGCTTTGAGGCATTAGAAAGCTAGACCAAAAAGAGCGAATTAGTTCCCCTTTGATGTGAACCGTCAAAAAATGCTGATGATTTTGCACGTTTCTCCATATGTCTATAAAATTAGGTTGAACTTAATGATCCATTTATAGATGGGCATAGGTTTGTAAATGTGTCTCTTTATATCTTTCATATTATTCATATATATATGATTGTATATGCTATATGTAACTCTACATACCTTTTCACATGCTATATTTGAAATGTCATGATGGTCATATGTTTTACATGTATTTGGTATGTGTTACAAAGGTTAAGTAGGAAAACCTGAGCCACATGATTTTTGCCCATGGACAGACACTCTTTGTATAACATCTAAGAGTCACAGGAAAGAATTTTGGAAGACATCTTCGTTTCATGTATTTTTAAAATTTATTCATAACTATCTTAATGAATTGGCTGGAAATTATATCCAAACTACTTCTTGAGCCTTTTGCCTATCATGGTTGGGTACAAAGTGGATAGAATACTGAAGAAATTTCCATCACTAAATACAGCATATATTTTAGTAGTTTGTGTCTCCCAAGAACTAAGTATTTTTAGAGGTTTTACTTCTGAATAGACCAGAAAGGTGACGTCACTACCTTATACTGCCAACTGCAAGGTCAATTTGGGGGAGAACCTTGAAACTGGATTCCTTTTTAGTCTCATTGGATTGACTGTGGTTTTTTTTGAACCCAAAAAAGCGTGTTGCTTCATTAATAGATATTCCTCAGATTGTCCATCTTTAATAGAAGTTTGAAAGAACCAAATCAGCAATTTTCATTGTGTATTTCAGGAAGACCGTATGGATTTAAGTACAATTGCTCTCTCAGCAAAAGTAAGAGCAGAAGAATGTCACTATTAAAACTGGCATAAAATTGTCAAAACTCTTAAGCTGTTTGCTTTAAGCATCGGTATGAACTGATTCATTCTTTGAACCAAAGGAAGTTTATCAACCTTGTGGATTCTTTTCTTTGAGAAAGCCTTAAATGACAACCTGTTAAATTAAATGAAAGTCTACAAACTAAATTCTTTCAGTTATGTTATCTCTTAGTTTACACAAACACAAGTTTCTAGTATCAAACCAGTTAAAGTCCATCCATCTGTATGTTGGTAACGAATGGTGTGGTAGGAGGGATGCTGGGCTGGCCTTTGAAAGGAGCTGTTCCTCTTTCCTCTCCTGCTGATACCTTGAACGGGAACCTATCTCATCTCCGTGACTCAGTTTCATCAAGTTTGTGTAGGAGATGACCAGGGTTCCCTCCTGCTTTTACGTGTATGGTCCTATTTGTGGAAGAAGCTAACGCCTTGCATAGGTTTGTCTTTACATAATCAGCAGCTGGCACCAGTGCTAGAAAAGTGCTCTTAGGAAGCTTTGGCTGTGGTTTGGGTTTTGGACTCATTTTTTAAAGGTCCAGCAGGATCAACGACGTCTTACAGGGGAGCAACAGCAGATACAGAACTCCAAATCATGGCAGCTTTTTCCTAATTAGTTTTTGCCCGTGATGTAAAGATCAAAATCTTGGTGACAGAAATGTGGAACAAAACAAACTACTTATATCATTAAAGTGACAGAGTTCTCTTTTGCTTACATTGATGTTGCTGTGATAAAGAACAGTAAATACTTGTCAGTTTTTAGTGACTGATGTTTACAATCTCTCAATCTTTTTTATATCCATTTTAACATGTGTAGCTTGGAGTTAAATTCTGTATCATTCCTTGTTCTTTTCAGCCATATAAATAGAATTTAACTGATCAGGGCTGGGGGAAGAAGAAAGAAGCTGGGTATCTTATTTGAAAAAATTATAAATATTAAGAACGTATCGGTTAAGTTTTCTCAGTCAGGCTGTCTGATGTTACCTGCCATCTGCTAATGAAGTGAAAAAAATAATGAGCATAAACTGTTGATCCCAAATCTTCCCCTTGCCCCCTTGAGATGTTTCTGAAATTTGAAAGGCAAGTTTTCTGTGATTACCTGTCTCAGTGCCTTCTTTATCTTATTGCTAGATAACTCCTAAATCCAAACGGAAGAGTATCCATAGCCGAATGCTGCGGCCTGTTTCCAGGGCCTTTGGTGAGTATTTTGCTAATGCTGATCATTTCCTTATAACTATACCCTCATCAAGAAACACAGGCCCCTCAGGGATGTTTCTCAGGGATGCCCTATATGAGCAGCTCCTGAGAAAGGGAGTTAAGTGATTTTTGAATGGAGGTTTGCTGTTCTGTGATAGAACTGAGAAGACTTTTGGGAATTCTTTAATCCATCTCTCTGCAAAAAGCTTTGGCCTTGGCTTTACTGTATTTTAGAAATGGAGTTTGATCTGGATAAAGCGCTGGAAGACGTGCCGATTCACGTAGAAGACCCTCCTTTCCCCGACGTCAGACAAGAGAGGCGGAGCTCAGGATTCGTTTCTGAGTTGCCCTCTGAAGAAGGGAGGAAGCTGGAGCACTTCACCAAGTCGCGGCCGAAGCGGGATAGGAAGCAGAAGCCCACCCAGGCGGCGGTAGGTGGACGGAGAGGCCCTGTCTCCGCCCTTCCCCTTTTCTCCTTGGGAAAGTCTTGCTGAAGTGCCTTGCATTACGTGAAAAGAGACGCGATGAAGAGAATAGAAGCTCTTCATGAGATACTCATGCAAAATATCTCCATTGGGTACTCGACAATTTTAGAAAAGATAATGCTGTCAGGTTACCAACTCTTCAGAACAGAGCTGCCTTTGAACTTCTTCGACAGTCAGGAGTGTGAAATAAATAGGCAACATCTGTGGAATTTTATAGTGTCTGAGTGTAAGAAGATGGGAAAAATAGGTACTAAAGAATTTATTTATAATCAAAAATTGGTTTGCATTTGGTTTTGACCTGGTCTGGTGCCTTTGCTTTTGATGACCTGTAACGTGACATCATGGTCAAGAGGTCGTACGTAGGACAACTGTGCTGGTGGTGTGATGGCTCACTCCCTTCAGTCAGACTTTATGAAAAAGTCTGTGCCTCTTATCTTTCCTCCTTATCTTCCCGTCTCCCTGCTACCCACCAAAACCTTCATTCTGTACCTCTCCCCCCGCAACACCGCCCTGCCAGGGCCACTCCTGGCCCAGTCCTGCAGCCACTCCTCAGCTATCACCGTCTTGCCTCAGCCATTCCTTGGCATAGAAAGCGCCACCCTTCTTGAAAGGTAATTTCCTACAGGACCTCTGAGTCATCACCCTCTTCTCCCCACCCACCTTTCCAGGGATGCCTCTGCAGTTTTCCCTGCCTGGCTTTTGAATGTATTATTTGCTGTCTGGGTGATGACATCTAAATCCGTGGTTACACTCTCTCTGTTGTTGACCAGCGACCTCTCTGCTGAACTCCAGATGCGAGGAGTCTCCGGTCTCCTGAGCTTGAATTGCTCAGAGCCTCTCAGGCTGAACAGATTCAGAACTGGGAGCTTGTCTCTCTGTAAACCTGCCCTTCTCCTTCTATCCCCTGCCCCTCAGGGAGCCACCAGTTTCAAATTAGAAACCTGGGTGTGATCCTGAATACCAGCCCCCCACACCAACCCCAGCCTGCTCTCCCCTTCCTCCTCGTCACCCCTGCCGTCCCTCCCTCCCGTTCTGTTTCCATCTCAGTGGGGCAGCGTTTTTCTTACTGCTTCCCTTCCACTCTCCTTCTCCCCTCCACGCACACCGCCTCGGCTGACCGCTACTCATCCTTCAGATCTCTACTGAGGCAGCACTTCTTTCAGGAACCCTTGTCTGTCTCTGCCTCTGTGCTCCCACGGGGTGGTCCTGTGACTGCAGGGAAGGTCATTCTCAGAGACTAGATGTGCACAGTGCACAGCCTGAGCAACCTTCTGTGGAGGCTGTGGTTCCTCCAGTGCCTGCTCTTTACTCTGCTACAGCTTCAGTGTTCTAGTCTAAGCACTCTCTCCTCATCTGCAATCTCTGTGTGGGAAGGCACACAGTTCATTAGCCATGGTTCTATGCTCGATGCCCAGGATATGTTTGGAATATAATAGGTGTTCAGCAGTATTCATTCGATGATACTATGACTAGAGACATTGATGGATAAAGGTCACCACGGATTGTCTGTGTGGTCAGTCATTTACTCTACAGGATCAGGCTAGTTGTGTTTAGTTTATTTCTCTCATCTGAGTCTGAATAGCTTGACATTGCTTCAAAAAAATGAAAAACATTTTTAGTGCATTTTTTTCTGATTTACTTGATTTTTTACTTGTTAGTGCACTACTACATATTCTTAAAGCAATAAACTTTTTATTCTCTTTTTTTAAATAAGGAAAAGGCCTTTTCAGATAGGCAAGAGACAACCTCCCACACTAGACTCTAAATGATTACTAAATAAATGGTTCCTCTTTGGGTCTTTCCATGTCGAGAGTCCTGCTTGTATGTGAAATGATGGTTCAAGTTTACCCTTGACTAAGTCAGCGACCTATGGACAGAGAATGTTGTGTACTTTTTTCTTTACACATTTAAAAAAGAAGAAGAAGGAAGCAAGTATGACAGAGTTCTGGTGGAGGAATGTGCTAGATGCACCCTAGTGAGAGTTAAACCTCACCCACAGTGACGCCGGGACTCGGGACAGCGCACCTGAGGCTGTCCTGTCCTCGGGACTCAGTGGCACAGCGTGTGTCCTACGATAAGGGATTGTGACCATGGTTTACATACGTGTAATTTCTTCCCTGCGGCTTTGTGGACTGAGAAACAGGGCACAGCTTGCTTTTCCTCCAGTCTGTACTGAAAATATGCTTACTTCCTTATGGTTTCCCAGTGCCTGTGGCTCTGGGGAACCTGCACATCTGACAGCTCTGGGAAGCTGCCACACAGGCACAGCAGCCACACCTTCCAGTGGAGAATGAGGAGGTCACAGCTTAAATTCTTTACTGGTATTCTTCACAGCGATCATTTAACGCCGTCATCGTTTTCTTTTTGTTTGTGTGCTAGGATCGTGTAGACTCAGTCCCCTCTAAGTCTCTTTCAGCTTTTGTAGGGCTTGTCGTTGGCATCCAATGTCTCTAATGAATTTTCTAGTTGTCAGAATGCTCAAAGCTAAGGTCTGGACAGTTTTTACATTCAATGTTTCTGCCACCAAATGTGTGGGTTCCCTTACTCCTCCAACCACCACCACCACCAATTAATTATTCAACTATCTGGACACCAATTTGGTGTCCTACAATTCAATTCAATTCTGACACTAACTACCTGGAGTTAATGTAGACCCCACAGGTTAAGGGGTCCATGGTGCCCCCACTTCAGACTCCAGTCCCGGGATGCCACCTGTACTTCAGACCCTACTGGCTATAAATTCAGTGGGGGTCCCAGGACACGTCCCTATGTTGGGGGAGGCGTTGTGTATTTTCCTCCGTCCTTTGTCCCCACCACAACAAAGAATTGAAGGGCAGAGACACAGTAGTGGAGCAGAGTAAAAGTTTTACTTAAAATTACTTGAAGGGAGAGAAAGTACAGGCAACCTCAGGGAGGAGAGGCACCATGAAAGATTGGAGAGAGAAAGTTTAAGGCTACACACTTAGAAAGTACAGGCAACTTCAGAGAGAGGAGCGCACGGACAGGTTTGGGGTTCCCCCTTTTAAGGATTTTTCTGGAATGTGACAAAGAGCTAGGGGTGTGGACTTGTTAAGTGGTCTCAAGATGTTCATCTTTGATGAGAAATTAAGTTTCTCATCAGTCCTTCCATGATTCTGCAAAATTAGCTTAACACAAGAAATTTACTTTCTGATGCCCTCCCAGGATAGCAGCTTCCTGGTCTGGGAGCACATCAGTCAAGACCGCCTGCCCTGCCTCCACGGTGGGCTGAGTTATTGTCTGTTTGCTAAAGAGTATGTTAAGAATCTTACTTCTTAACTTCTTGGGTTTTAAAATGTAATTGTAGTTTTAAGGTGGAATTTTTCCTGTTTTTATTATGCTTTTTATAGCTGGGGCTTTTAGCAGGCTAAAGGAAATTTTACAGTGGCAGGACCTAAGTGACACAATGAAGACATGGGTTGTGCTGAGATACTTCTCTTTCTCTGGGGAGTATTCAGACACTCCAGGCCCAGTTGCTTCTGGCCTTTTGAGCTTTAACTGGTTGACTCATTGACTCTGAGTCTTCCTGGCTCTCTAGTTTTAACTGGTCAACATTAGAGTCCTTTCTAGTGGGCTTTATGGCCTTATTTTCTTTCTACCCCTGCTCATGCCTATTTTCCTGCCTAACACCTAGGTCTGATAATTTGCTAGAATGGCTCACAAAACTCAAGAAGATACTTTACTTACTATTATTGATTTATTATAAAGGATACAGCTCAAGAACAGCCAGATGGAAACGATGTGTAGGGGGTGCCACCCTCCCAGCCCCTCAGTGTGTTTGCCAACCCCAAAGCATTCCACACCTTGTCACTTAGGAGTTGTTGTTTTTTTTAATTAAAGTATCATTGATATACAATCTTACGAAGGTTCACATCAACAATATTGTGGTTTCAACATTCACCCATATTATCAAGTCCCTCGTCACCCCCGCGTTGCCGTCACTGCCCGTCAGTGGAGTAAGACGCTGTAGAGCCCGTACTTGTCTCCACACTGTGCTGCCTCCCCCGCGACCTGCCTGTATCGTGATTGCGAATCAGGTCACTCAGGAGCTTTAATGGACATGCCGTTAAGAGGCATGGTTAATTAAACCATTGGTCATTGGTAATTGACTCAAGCTCTAATCCACTCCCCTCCCCAGAGTCAGTGGGTGGGGCTGAAAGTTCCAGCCCTCTTATTACGCGGTTGGTTTCCCTGACAGCCAACCCCAATCCTGAAACTACCCAGGGGCCGACCCAGGAGCCACCTTTTAGCATAAACTCAGGTATGGTTGAAAGGGGCTTGTTATAAATAACAAGATATGTTCCTGTTACCTCTATCGTGCAGACCATTCTAAGAGTTTTAGAACCTCACTACCAGGAACTGGGCACAAAAAACAAATATATACATTTCTTAGTGTATCACACAAGCTAGTAAGTGCCAACATGTCAATTTCTACTGGGCCAAAATAATGTTGCAGCTATTGATTTTTGTGCCAAAAGTATACAAATAAATATGTAAATATGAAGAGTAGACAACTTAGTTTTTTAAAAAAACTAAGTAAAAATTTAATCTTGGGTCAAACAATAGTTATTCTAAACTACCAGACGTTTTATGAATAATTGACATAGACATCTTACCTATACATTTTAAGTCTTTACCAAACCTCTCCAAAAACATCCCCAATCTATTTTTAATAATGAGATAAAATATTCAATTTCTTATTTTTTCATTTCATCAATGTAAATATAAGAACTTCTACACACTACATTATGGCTGATGAGCCCATAGAATTTAAAATCCATCTTTTCCAGGGTGGAAAATGAGGAGGGAAGGTAATATGCTAGGGCCTTGATATTTCGGTGTATTTCTTCCTCACACCATAGTCCAATGTGGGTGCACCTGGTCAGGGGATCACTTGCTCACACCATAGTCCAATGTGGGTGCACCTG